TTTGAACTGCCAGCCTTCAGGTTAGCAGTCAAATGCCTTAGGCACTACGCCACCAGGGCTCCTAACTAAACTGTGAGGACCCTTCGCCTTCTGGCCTTGCTTAGTCTCTTGTAGCCTGGCTCTACTCCCTGGTCCTGGAACACAGCCCACCTATTTAGCTCTTCTTCTGAACTAGGGTTCAGCCCATTCCCAATCCTGGAATGTCCTCCCCTCATGGCTTCTCTGCCTATCTAAAACTTAATAATTTTTCAAGGCTCAACTCAACTCTCATTTGTTTCTGTGTGCCAAAAGGGCAGGGAGGCTGCATCTTCTGACCTCCTCTAACCGCACAAGAGGAAGACAGAATCAACATCAGTAGCTCAAGGCCTATTCCTGCTAGGCTAGACATGCTGCCTCCCTCCAGCCCTTTCACTAACCCTGACACCAACCATTCCTCCCACAGCACTCACCACCTTTCTGCCAGGTTCAATAATTCACTGCAGTGGCCACACAGAACTCACAGATTATGAGGTTTATTAGGGAAGCACCAGGCTACCAATTCAAGTTCAGGAAAAATGCTCAGTCTTTCTCAGCCCGCCGTCTCTCAGCCAACAGTCTCTCTCAGCCACTCTCCCAGCAGTGGGTGTCTCTTGGTGTCTCTCAGCAATGCTTGTCTCTTGGTGTCTCTTTCTCAGCAGCGCATGTCTCTCGGTGTCTCTTTCACAGCAATGCATGTCTCTCGGTGTCTCTTTCTCAGCAGTGTGTGTTTCTCAGGAGCATGTTTCTCTCAGCAGCACATCTTTCTCGACCAGCAGTCAGAGAGACTTCTGCCTCCAGGAGGCCTCCTTTTGAGCCTGGCAGAGTAGCCAAACTAACTAATCATAAATCAGAATTCTAAACACCTGAGAGAGAATGAACTTCCCAGAACATTGCTTTGTGCCACTCTCAACAGAAATACCCCAGACAGATAACTTTAATGATCAGGAGCTCCTCAATTGCTCAGGGCAAATTCCACTGCGGAGTTTACAAAGACTTATGGCTAGAAAAGCCATACCAGGTAATTTACTACACCGCACTGTGTGTAGTAGTCAGTGAATCAAGTCAGGACACCTATGGTCTACTTTTCTCTTATCTGCCATTTACTAAGTGGTATCAGGCAGATTGCTTTCTTCTCTGAGTTTCAGTCATAAAATTTATTTGTATGATTTCAGTAAAATCTGTCCTATAAACTTCAAAGGATATGAGGATTAACTGACATATGAAACCACTCTGAAAACTAGAAAGTGTTATAATTTATAAAGCATTATTTTGCCACAGAAGTGATTTCTCCCTTACTGATTATAAGCAATAATTTTCTACAACACTTACTGACCAAAACCAAACCAAACCCACTGCCATTGAATTGATTCTGACTCATAGCAACCCCTGCTGGGTTTCCAAGGTAGTAAATATTTATGGAAGTAGATTGGCCCATGTTCCTTCCACAGAGCGGCTGGTAGGCTTGAACAACCAACCTTCTGATTAGCACTCAAATGGCTTAGGCACTGTGCCACCAGAGTGCCTTACTTACTGACTATAACCAGTAATTTTCACATGTATTTTATATCTCCTCCTTGTAAACTAAATTACAAGCCCTTTGAGACCAGAACGTTTTGTAATGTGTATACCCCCCACAGTGTTTTTGTACATAAATATGTTTGACTGATGAATTCAATTCTTCTCTCTGATGATTAATCTCACTTTCTTAATAGTCTAATTGCTCTTAATTTCTGACCTTTCCATCATTCTTCCAGCTCATCCAAACCATAATCAACTTTTGCACTTTCCTGGATGATGATATAAAATAAAGCAGATGCTGAGCTGGATGGGAGTACCTCATGGCTCAAATGGTGTCATTTCAGGCAGGAAAGGAGAAGTAGGAGCCACACAATTTCGGCTAAACTTACCCAAAGGAGCACATAGGAGTCCTTTGTATCACTAATAAAATTTCATGGGATATAATATATTTCCAGGGACATTTCTCGAATGTTCGTTATCAGTGTCCCTGCTAAAGCAAAAGACTTCTAGAAAAGACTTCATTGTTTCTTTGATTAAAAGATTGCTTTTAACTCTAAATATGATTACAGCTGGCAGAATGTTAGTAATTAATGAAGAAAGAAATAGGATCTGACTTCAGCCTCCAATTTCCTTTGTCTCGTTTCCCTGTGAGGTTACGTAAAGGCCCTTATTCTACTAAATGTCATTAATAGCATTAATCTTTATGTTCATTTTCTAGTTTCCTAAATGTGTTGAGAAAAATAAGCCAGTGTTCTACCCAAAACCTCCTAAGACCTTCGCTCCTAATACTTCTTTAAATTCCTGGGATCCTATTAACTCTCTAAAAGAAGCCAACATACAAAGAAATCTGGAGAAGTCCCACTGGATCACAACATACACTCATGATTTTACAGGTGTGACTTCATTTTAATAACAAGGAAAAAAAATAGGAATATTTGACAGTTGCTCTTATAAGCTCTCATCCTTAGATATTTCCCCCTGTTTCTGAGTCTATGAACTAATAAGAATTAAGATGGGTGATAAGTTTCTCTTAGTGGGTAGCTGGGAGGTAGGGTAGGTTTTCATTTCATTGGTTCTCATTATATTACAAAGGGAATGGGTATGTTTTCCTATAAAAGGTAATTTAAATGCCATTTTTCATTTACTCTAACAGAATAATAAGACATAATGTTTCCATTAAGGTCTGGGGCCCATGAACCCCCTTGAACTGGATGATTACCATGAAAAGGAGGTAGCCGACTTAACTGGACAGATAGGATTTGACCCAGAGCCTGTAAGTAATTGCAGTCAACTCTCAGTTATTTAGGGGGAAAGTATACAGATGCTGGGCTCCTTTTTGCTTTGCCCATTTTTTTATTTGATTCTTGATTATTAGTGACCCAGTTAACAAAGGGAAATTTTTACTCATTTTAGAAGTTAATTCAGAAGTGGTTTGAATACCCTTGCCCACTATTTGGAAGAACAAAAAAAAAAGTGTCCTTTCCTCCTCCCAGTTCTGCTTTCATAGATTTCCTACTATAACTGTTGCTAAAATAACTTACAAAGGAATTGGTTTACACAAGAGCAGAGTTTAATTATTAATTTAATGAGATTCTTTGATGATTCTGTGAATATTTGCATACTTGTGTATCTTGTATATTACCATTGCTTTTGAAGAGATGGAGGCTTCCTTCTGATCTCCACAATAATTGAGAGTTGGCTGAATTACAACCAAAAGCCAATAAATTCTCTGCAAATAGCAATAGGCATTTCTTAATTGATTTTATGAAATTCTCTGAATGAAATTATCAAGCCCTTTAGTGAAAGAAGTTATAATCTGTTGGCTTAACTATGTAAATAAAATGAAATGACTTATTAGTATGCATATATGTTATTTTATTGGGGCCTAAACTTTATCCTTTAAAACTACAAAATTTTCAAAACAAAATTATTATTTTCAGAGATATAAATTGTGCAAAGACACATAAAAAAACAACTGTAAGATGACTTCACTCTCAGGCTTTTTCCGATTGAGTTGTACACATTCATTTTACATTAGCTTCAGTATTTCCTAAGGTGATATATAATCATAGAAGCAGAAGTAGTTCCATAGGCTGTGCTTTCTCATTCCCTGAAGGGTTTTTAATTTTATTTTTCACTTGTAATGAGTACTCACTAAGGCCATAAAATATTATACGTATACCCTGACATTGTCAGTTGTATTCCATAAACTGTCTAGATTTCCACAGATTTGAAGAAAGTTACTCAGGAAGCAGCTTTATCATTTTTTACAGGGAAATACATGTACACTTATGCAAAGTATGCTTGCCAAGAATATGCAAGACTATCATGAAAGTAAATCAACATTTAAATACTGACTTTTCAGCTCTGGTGGCTTCATGCCTAAGGCATTTGACTGCTAACCAGAAGGCTGGTGGTTCAAACCCACCAGCTACTCCACAGAAGGAAGAATGGGCAATCTACTTCTGTAAAGATTTACCACCTCAGAAACCCAAAGGGGGTTGCTATGAGTCGGAATCAACTCAATAGCAGTGAGTTTGTTTTGTTTTTTTGTTTTGAATAATAAGATAAAATACACCTAAAATAGTTTGATGTTCATAAGGAAGTTTCAGTAAATCTTGTGGATTTCTGACTGAAACATAAATAACAGACTTTGAGGTGCTTATGAAAATTTATTTTGTAGTAAAATAAAATGAAGGTACTAAAATTTGCTTCTTGCATTAAAGGAAACCATCAAAGTAGGATATGATAAGCCCTCTTCTTTTTTGTTAATGACAAATTTAACAAAGTATTTCAGACAACTGGGTGGTTTTAGTCTTTCCTTCATAGTATCTACCCAAACTTGATTAGCTAAAGGTTATAATAAATGTCTTAATAATTCAGTATGGAAATTCTTCCAACTACAGATTAGTTTCTAAAAGGATGTTCCTTATTTTTGTAAATCCACAGTACGGTTATTATTTTCTCACCACTTCTATTTTTATTGTCTGCTGTCAATTATATCATCATTATACATTCATTCCTTCTTAGCTTTTTTTTATGCTTTTTTATTAACAATATTATAAAAATGTATTTCAACTTTTGTATGTGTTTATATTTTTTTAAAAGTTGAAATACAGTTTACACCCATTTACCCACCATTTAGAGTCTGCCATAACATATCACTCTGTTTTAAGGAGTCCTGGTGGTGCGTGGCTAAGCATTTGGCTGCTAACCGAAAGATTGGTGGTTCAAACCCACCAGCCGCTCCATAAGAGAAAGATGTGTTGCTTTGCTTCTGTAAAGATTACAGCCTTGGAAACCCTATGAGGCATCCCTATTCTACCCTATAGGGTCACTAGGAGTCAGAATCAACTCAATGGCAATGGGTTCTGATTATATTTGTTATGTCACATGATCCATCAATCTTCATTGCTGTATCCATCCATCAATCTACTCTATTATTTTTTATGCATATAAGAGTAACTGCAGATATTAGTGTACTCCACCCTTAAACATTTAGCATGTGTATCATTAACCAGGAGCTCTGGTAGCATAGTGCCTAAAGCATTTGACTGCTAACCAAAAGGCTGGTAGTTCAAACTCACCAGCCACTCCACAGAAGCAAGACTGGACAATCTACTTCCATAAAAATTTACCACCTCAAAAACCCAAAGGGGGTTGCTATGAGTTAGAATCGATTCAATGGCAGTGAGTTTGGTTTTTGGTTTTTTATCATTAACCAGAGTTCAAGATTTGTGGATTTTTTCAGTTGAAGGTAAAATTTATGTGCAATGAAACTGCACTTATCGTAAGTGTACGTTCATACAGTTTTGGCAAATTCATACATCTTTGTAACCTAAACCCATATCAAGATATAGATCCATCATCCCAGAAAGTTCCCTCATGACCTTTCCCAGTCATTTCCTTCTCACCTCCCCCTGCTAGACATATATCTGTTAGTAGCACTTTGAATATACTCACTGCAGACATGATTAACACTATTTATAAAATACCTAAAAAAGAAGTACACAACAAACAGGAAAACCCCGCCTCAGACCAGTATTTCTCAAAACATAGTGAACACATCACCAACCAAAGCACCAGCTGACGTACTCCTTAAAAATGAAGATTCTTTACCCCCACTGCAAACCTTTTGAATCATAATCTCAGAGAGTCAGGCCTAGGTCTCATTTTCTGCCCACTACAGAGGTGATTCTGACTCAGCTAAGGTTTAAGAACCTCCTGCCTTGGCCTAATAAAGAATGCTTTGGCTGAGATTTAAATAACTGTACTTTTAACGTCATCAGTCGGTGATGGGTAGAAGTTTTGTTGCGATGATTATTTTATATCTTCAGGAGTCTGAATGCAATGAGTTCCTACATAAAGGAGCTTCTCTGTAGATAAATTAAAAATATGCCTTTTCCATCTTAGCAAAAACCAGTAGAAGAGATAAATATGTTTATTACCACCCGAATTTCAATAGGCTTTAAATAAGTATCAAAGAACACCATAGTGTGCACTCCTATACCCACCTCTTGTTTACTTGATCTGCCATTTGCAGCAACATCCTCAAAATGCCAGATTTATAAATTAATTTATTTTCTTCTTGTTATCCCACCACTACAGCAAGAAAAATTCCATCCTGCCTTAAAACCCGTCAGACCATTGGAAGGACGAATTGCTCGAATGATTAATGACCGACGTTCTCTGGAGGCTACTGTCCAGGAAAAGCCACCTTCTTGTCCAGATTGTACTCCCACAGTTTTATGTACTTTTCATACCTTTATACCCAGTTCTGAAGAAATGAGGGCACTTAAGGATAACACACGGGCCGGTGTGACCCATAAAAACCAGGACATTGAAGAGAAAATTAAGGAAGAACAGAGCTTGCTATCCTGCTATGCACTTCCATCTTGTTACCCAACAAAAGTTCTGACTGACCTTTACAGCATAAAACCATTTCCAAAAGTCACGGATACTAAAAAGACAGAAGATTTATACTGGAGACAGCTGGCAGTAAAACCCCAACCTGTACCTCACTCTAAAGCAAACAATTATATTCACTATGAACATTTTAAATCTGACCAGTATACTGTGTGTCAAGATCCTAATAGCCTTAGTAAGCCTAGTATGTTACAAAATAAACATGGCACAGAAGCTTTCACTTTAGAACAGTTTTTCGGTAAGCCAGAAGAACATCAGTTGGCCTTGAACATGGAAGACAACAAAGAAGCAAGACCTATCCTGAGTTGGATTCCTAGAGCAGGTGTGGCCAAGCCTCAGACCAACCTGCTGGACCTTAAGAACTCTTTTTCAAAAACTGGTGAACGCAAACGTTTCCATAAATCAATTCTAGATGACCATAGAGACCTCAGGGATAAGGACCAATCAGGGATGAAGCACCAATTCTATGGCCATAACTCCTATTATTTCTACAATTGAGATTGTCATGCATCCCTTCAAAACCCATTCTCTTGGAAGAAAAGAAAAACTATAACAGAATTTCCTTCTTATTGCTGGATTCTGTTTTCAAGATAAGCCATAATGCTCTTGTTAATGAAGTTTATGTTTTCAGGAATTTAAGTTAGGATCTGTTCAGAAGAACCCAGAAAAGGTGATGTTCTGACTTCTTGAAAAGTTTAACAATTTGGCAATAAAATATTAGGACTAGAAAATGTATAGTCTTTAATCTCATTTTCAAATTATACTCTAAGGAAGTTTTCCAAAATGTGTACAATAAAGCCAACATCGTTTTACAAAAATGAAAATCTGAAAAAAGTCAAATACCTAATAAATGGCAGATGACTATACCTTAATAGCACCATAATGAAATAAATATGTGAGCACTACCCCTTTATGTAAATATTTGTACAAAATAACATTAGGTGGACCTCAGACTATATGAGCATGAGACCAGAAAAAAATAGATAGTGCCCAGCTACCACTGGCAACCACTCATAAAGGGATCAGTATAGGAGATCCTGCATAGAGTGGGAGAACAATGTACAACAAAACTCAAAAAAAAAGACCAGGCTTACTGGTCAGATAGAGCCTGGTGAGACTCCTGGAGACCATGGCCCCTAGTTACCCTTCAGGTCTGGAATTGAACTTACTCCATGGCTTCCAGTCAAACAATAGACAGGCATATTGGGTGAACATTTACATCGGGTAGATACACTCCTTAGAATGATCAATTGTGGTAGAACAGAAGGGCAGTATTTGCATAGGGAGATAGCTCAGGGGGCAGGAATGTATAGCAAAGAAGCACACAGGAAAGAGGTAACTACAAGGAGGAAGTGGGAAGAGAGCTGTTACACTGTGGGCAATGGCAGGCAATGTCATGAAACAGAATGTGTATGTACTGCTGTATGGAAAATGAATATGCTCTGGCAACTATCACCTAAATCACAATAAAAAAAATTTAAGAAATAAAATTAGGTGGAAAGGACAAAATTCAAATGCCTAGCTAACTGAGGGACGAGCAACTATATAAACTATATTATAAATATGTGGACCATCTTCATTCATGTAAATTTGTGGACAAAATAACAGTAAGCAGAAAAGAAGGAACCCAAAATGCTCTGCATACACACATTACTACTGGAACAAGTTGGATATGTTTCCTTCCCTTTAAACTTATGCTAGAGAAGAGAAACAACCATTTACTGCAGATAAAAAAGCAATGACTTTGTTTTTTTTTTTT